TTTGAAATGAAATGTCCTTCTAGACATTTAATATGTCGAGAATGACGTTTTGAAATGTCGAGAACATTTAATATTGTGATTTGATGTGTGTACTATTGAAATATAAAACGGGGATTCAAATATCGAGAATAACATTTTAAATGTCGAGAATACGTAGAGATTCAAATGTCCTTTTTTTTTCATTAAGAGCATAATAGACACTTTAGTATTAAATTTGAAAATTGGACACTTTTCAACTCAAACCCTTAATTGTGGACATTCTTGAAAATATCCCTTTTAAAAATTGAGCAATTTTGATATAATTTTCTATTCTAGCTACAAAATTGAATTATATTTCTGTTTTAAAGTTACTATTAGAAACAAATAAGATATCGGAATCATTTTGATACCAATTTGTTAAGAACTGAACCAAATAATATAGACGAGAAAATAAGAGCAATATAAAAAATAATGGATCACATAAGAACACAAAATTTATGTGGAATAAGATGATAATTTCATATACTAAGAAACCAAAATTGTGTTTATAAGATTTTATACTCTCATCTAAATCTAAACAATTCTCTCAAGTTCCAATGTATACAATAATGATCTAATTGTTATGTTCTATAAAGAGCCTACACTTTGCAAAGTATTTAGGAAAAATTGCAGCCACGGTACCAAACATTTCACCTTTATGCAGACTTTGCCAAAACCTTTCATTTGTACCATCATGAATATCAAACCTTCAAAAAATTCGCAGCTCAAGTCCAAATGAATGAAAACCTTTAGTTTGACTGTTAGTTGACTCCAAAAAATTATTTTGATTAAATCAAAAAGGGTAAAATGGTAACTTCATAATTTTAACATAAAAAGGGAAGATAAAAAAAAAAGTAACACTATTCTTCTTCTTCCAAATCTCATCCACCCCCACCGCATCCACCCATCCAAACCATCTCCTTCTTCCTCGTCTACATACAACCCCATTGCAACAATCTCCATTAGATTGCACAAACTTGCAAAAACTATATGCGTTCCTAAAAAGTGATTATTCCATCATTCATCAATAAAGAACCCAGAGAACGAAGCTTGGATGTCTCTCAGTAAATCAATTGTAATTCTTGAATGTAAAGGAGTGGTAGTAGTAGGCTATGCGACTAATAAATGACTTTTCCCTAGGAGTTTTCACAAAAGTATGAAAATGGATAAACAAAAGAGAAGTGGGACTTGGCACCTTAAGGTGTGATCTATGTAGTATCTATGATGGAGATATATACTGATAAAAGATTTTAGTACACTAAATTTTGGGATTAAAACATATGCTTCCAGTGGTTTGTTCATCTTTTGCCGAGTTTGTAGATCAGATCTACAGTTGTTAAAGATGCATTATACCTTCTGATGAGTGATGAATATGGAGATGGGGCACCAATGGAGATTGTTGCAATGGGGTTGTATGGAGATGGAGAAGAAGAAGATGGTTTGGATGGGTAGGTTGTTGTTTCGCGCGGGTAGTTGCTAACAATTAAAAGGAAATTCAGACG